TGAGGAGGAAGGGCAGCGCTGATCAATAAATGATTAATGCTCGAGATGGACTCACATTCGCAGACGGGCAGCAAGGTGCACATGTTCACACACTTGTTTTACTCCTCATGACTTAAACAGCAGAGTCGGATCATCACACCAATTCCTGTGCTGTTATCATTTTTTAGATTTAAATGTATAATTTATTTATTTATTTATTTGTATCTGCAGCCCTTCGCTCCACGTCCCCTCCCTCCTCCGAGGTATAATTAATTGGACGAACTGAATTTCACACACGAATTATTCACGAATCTATCGATCGATATTGAACACCCAGGGCCTCTCTCTTAACCCCGCTTGGTTTGTCGTGAAGCGAGGAATATTAACGTCGTCATGTAGAAAAGACAAGAAAAATGGTTCCAGTTTTAAACTAAAATAAACACAATTCTCAGTAGAAAATTCACAAGAAAATAAGTGTTTGTTAATGTGGGATCAAACCGGAAGCGCGCCTTTTAAACGCAACATAATGTGCGCAGAAGAGAAATAAAAAACGGAAAGAAACTCGGGATAAACGAGGCTATTGACGAATCTTTGCTTGACGAATCCATTCAAAGTAGGCCAGCCGCTCTTCACAGATTTACAGAAAGCCCAGCCTTCTGCTATCAGCAGGATGTACACCTCAGAACCACTCAGAACCAGGATCTGGGCGCACGTCCGGCTGCTTTGTGCATGACTTTCTGTCCGTCTCTCTCTGCTCGGTGCCTACTGTAGCTCTAAAAGCTGCAATGATCGATTTTTTTTTCTTTTCTACGCCGAGCTTGGTTCAGTAATCAGGGCCCCCTTCCTCACCGATCGATCGGTATTGATTACTAAATCCAGCGCCTGTAGCAAAGGCAGAGCACTATGGAGCCCCATGCAGACCGGGCCACGACCAGAGCGTCACCTGCCGGCGGAAACCAGGTGAAGCAGGCGGTCGATGAGGGGGGCTGGACGTGACCATCCAGTGGAAAGATGGCTGAGAAGACATGATCAGACACTGGTTCTCCTTCCTTCCTGTGACTTGTTTTAAAAACAAATAAATGTGGATAAATTATGAATCATTGTGGTTTTATATGCATGAAAATAAACCAGTGAGAACGTATTTACAGTAGAATATGACACTAAAAACAATCAGAAAAAATTACTCAACCAATACTCAATAAACCTCATTTTATTTTTTGCTTTTTATAAAAAGAAAATCTGAAATAAATTTAAAGTCTTTGTGCATTATTTGTAGTCTCAATGTGTGTGTGTTATTGTGTAAATAAGCTCGAGTGTGTGTGTCTGTGTGCATTATGATATATAGGCCTGTGTGTATTTGCGTGTGTGTGTTTGTGTGTATATAGGCCAATAGTGTGTCCCTGTGTGTATAGGCCAATATTGTGTGTGTATGTGTGTGTGTTACTGTATATAAAGGACTGTGTGTGCATGTGTGTGTGTGTGTGTTGCTGGCATAGGCATGTTTGTGCTTGTGCATGCATGCATGTGCATGGGCATGTGAGTGTGTATGTGTGTGCCACTGCATAGGCCTGTGTGCATGTGTGTGTGTGTGTGTGTGTGTGTGCTTGTTACTTTTTAAATAGGTGTGTGTGTGTGTGTGTGTGTGTGTGCATGCGTGCATGTGCATGTGAGTGTGTATGTGTGTGCCACTGCATATATAGGCCTGTGTGCATGTGTGTGTGTGTGTGTGTGTGTGTGTGTGTGTGTGTGTGTGTTTGTTACTTTTTAAATAGGTATGTGTGTGTGTGTGTGTGTGTGTGTGTGTGTGTGTGTGTGTGTGTGTGTGTGCATGCGTGCATGTGCATGTGAGTGTGTGGTTCAGACAAAATGCAATACATATTTATTTACAACTTTGGATGAGATGAGAAGGAAGAACAGAATAAACTAAACTGCACTTAAACTTATAAAAATGATAAAAACAATCACTTAAACCAAGAAGATCATGTTTTATCCATACATTTTAAAATTATGTTGTAGATGCAAGGGAAATTTGTGAGAGTAAAAAAAAGTCATTTAATGTTAAACAAAGATGACAACATAAATACAAATGCTATTTAGCAAAGGAACACCGTGTCACAGAACAGGAGAACACACTACTAAACTAGACTCAACCATTCTCACAGTTTTAAATCCTCGTAGAATGATTCTAGGAATCAGAAAGAATAACCATGAAAGTCATTCAGTCTGGTTTAAATTCACATTATTTAAAAATCTGGAGACCATAACCTCTGCTGGCTTTGTTTTTTACACACATGAACACACTCACGTTCATGGTAGCAGTCGATAAAGAGATGTAACCAGTCCACCTGCAGATGGTGCTGGGATAGACAAGAACAGTGACCTCTGTTTTCTGCACAGCCTCTTTAAGTTTCATAAAAATCAGATTATCCAATAAAGGCTATCAAACATTGCAGAAAGGCATGCTCTCATCACCTATTAGAAAGTTGATTTGTTATTTTAAAAAAGTTTCAACAGAAAAAAAGGCATTCAGTCGGAGTTCTAACAAGTCTCAGACAGCCTGACGTCTCTCCTGGCTTTCCCACCACTGTGGGAACGGGAGCGGCAGAGCTGCGACGTATGTTTAGGCTCGCCGTCCTGCTGGGAAACAAATCCTCTTCATAGGTTTGATCCAGACAGGCTGGCGTGTGTCTGATAAGAGTAGAAACCTCCCACAGATCTGTACGATCCAGCACTCGCACGTGGAATCATTCCTAAAATAAAAATCCATATTTGCTGAGTTACATGCATGAGTAATCATCCAAATCGGTGTTTGAATTATTCAGGGTTTTACTTTTTCTCCAAATGACATGTTGGTTAAATAAACATGAAGTGAATGAGCTGACTTAATTTAAGAAAAAAGCTAATTACTAACATGGATCATAGATTATTGCAAAATTGATGACTGACAAATTAATCAATTTGTAAAAAATCTATTATACAAGCTGGCCGCCACTGTTTGTTTCTGGGAATTAGAAGGTGGTATTTAGTTCAGCTTGTGTTCTTCTAAATGTCACCAGAAATATGAGAGTGGAGAGTTTCTTACACATGGTAAAAATATATATGCTTAATTTCAAAAATTACATCTTCACTGAAAATAATTTCACCTGAAGCCCAAATCATTATCTCACACTCCCGTGCTCCTTTGTTTTCTCCTTTTATTATTCTCCGGGCTTTAATAAATCAACTAGAGCGGCGAGATATGCTGCGTTCACACAAGAGCACTTTTGCACAAATTTGTGTGTGGCACATTGGCATGTGTCCCCGTGCATGACATACACAGCAGCAGCGTTGATTTAAAATATGAAGATGATGGATGTGCAAGTGTGCAGGTTAGATGTCTGTAGTAAACAGATTGGACTGCAATGGCTGATCAATGGGCTCTGTTCCACTGTAATTAGACACACAGCGCCACTGCTTGGCTCCAGCCACTTCAGCATAATCACAATCGCCCTGCACGCACACACACACACACACACACACACGCACGCACGCACGCATGCACGCACGCACGCACGCACGCACGCACACACACACACACAGTGTGGAAGTGAGACATTACTGAAAGTATGAGACAATGCCATCAGCAGCAGGTGGAGACCCCACAGGGATGGCATCTTTCTCTCCCTGATTTGCTCTCTTTTAATTGAGGCGGTGGGGTGGCCGAGCGGGACACACAGTCCGTTCTGGGAGGATTCGATCTTCAGTCAGCAGGGGAACGTGTGGCTGCAGAGTTGGTGCCATAACCATCCACACACACATTTATAAACACTCACACACATCATCTCTTGGTACCATTTCTGCCTTTTTACTCTCCACCCGTCTGCTGTTTTCTTTTTTTCCACACGTCTACTTCAAATAAACCAAGTTACAACACACTTACCCACAATCCCACACTCTATTAACTATTAATTTCAGTGTTTGCTGTGCAAAACCCCATCACCCCGTCGGACCCCCTCCCAAATGTAAGAGTGCACAGCTTTCTTTTGAAAATTGCTCTGCGTATGGGAAGGGGCTCATAGCAGCCGGAGCAAGCACCTCTCAAGTGTTTGTGTTTGGGGAGTGTGTGTGTGTGTGTGTGTGTGTGTGCGTGTGTGTGTGCGTGCGTGTGTGTGTGTGTGTGTGTGTGTGTGTGTGTGTGTGTGTTTATAAATACCCTCTCAGAGCTCTGTAGAGTGGGCTCCAGTGGGCTCTGTTTGAAGTAGCAGACTGTAGACCTGCTGGGGGGGATCTGACCCCAGTCCCTACAGAACCCCCCCCAATTCCTACAGCAAGTCGGTCAATATCTCGCTTTCTCCTTCACATGCCGCCCTCCCCTCCTCTTTCTTCCTCTCAGCTACTCTCTTTAGTTCTTACACACACACACACACACACACACACACACACACACACACACACACACACACACACACACACACACACGCACACACACGCACACACACACACTCACACACACTTTGTCTGACTCCTGCATCTTTTCTCTTCTCGTTTCTATTCTTCCCTGTCTCCTCTAACCCCCCCCCCCACACACACACACATACACACGCAAAGACACAAAATGCTTACTTTTGTGCAACAGTCACTCAGTCCCCCATTGCGACTCAAACTGCATTAATATTGAATCAAACAGCAGTGTCTCCAGCTAGCAGGCAGCAGCCAGTCCCACTGCCGTGCCCTCCCCACCCCATCCTTCTCTCACCGCAGGCTGGCTCCCTGTCTGCACTCTGCAGGATGGAAGGAATATTCCCACTGGGCAGGAGGCATGGATTAGCTTTAAATCAACTTTAATATGGCAGTACAGATAGAGCTGTAGCATCTTGGCTGACGTATTAACTAGGTTTTATGTGTTCTAATAACGTTTCCCTCCACCTTCTGTTTTTGTTTTTGTGGTAACAAAATGACTTCTGTAAATTTACCTCCTTGTTTTTTGTCTTCTTTCCCTGCTTCTTATCACCGTCCCTCCTACCGCTGCCACCAACAACAAGCCTGCAAGCGCAAAGAACAGGAGCAACACAAGGACCGCAACACGGCACCCAAGAAACAGCGCCTGGTCTTCACCGACCTGCAGCGGCGTACACTCATTGCCATCTTCAAGGAGAACAAGCGTCCATCCAAGGAAATGCAGATCACCATCTCCCAGCAGCTCGGCTTGGAGCTCAGCACTGTCAGCAACTTCTTTATGAATGCACGTCGCCGCTGCGTGGACCGCTGGCACGATGACCATGGCACCAGCCCCGGGCAGCCGGGCACATCCACCACCACCTTCTCTAAGGCCTGATAATGGGATGAGGCCTTCAGAGGGTTAGGAGGGGACCAGGTCAGAGCAGTAGGCATCACAGAAAGTTGGCTGTGAAACCTGTCTCCACCTGACCTGGACTATCTGAATGTGCCCTCTGCCTAAAAAAAATCTTTTGTGCCATGCAATCATCTTTTTTTGTCAGTCAAAATGTTCAAACTCTCACCTGAAGAAGCATAATCTAAGAGGTGAGGAGTGAAGTCAGGTCCAATCCGCATTTCTCACATAAGGACAATCATTGATTTTGTCTTTGATGAAAATGATTTTTAAGGCATCTTACAAAGCAAAGAGACACCAAAGAGTTGACCTTTTTTCCGCTTCTTTTTAATAGCCTTTGCATTTCGTCGGCCTCCGTCGCCGTTTCACCCGAGTAGCCACTGGTACTGCTTTTCCTCTCACCTCCTTTGTGTCTGCCTCCTTATTCACATCCTCTCAACTCACATGGAAGCAACAAGGGCGAAAGAATGGCAATAAATCTGACAAGACAACTGCACATAGCCTTATTATCAGTGCCCCATCCTGCACACACACGCACGCACGCACGCACGCACACGTACACACACGCACACACACACACACACACACACACACACACACACACACACAAACACACACACACACACACACACACACACACACACACACACACACACACACACACACACACACACACACACACACACACACGAGCCCATCACAAGGAAAACAACAGCAGCAAGGCTCTTTCATTTTTCCACGCCTCCCCCTTCTCCTCTAGTCTCCTTCATTGCTCAGCCAAAGGTATTCCCTGTTGGCCAGTCATTTCAGAGAGCAGCTCAGCCTGATCATACAGCGAACTAATGAATTGAAAAATGAATCGATGCAGACGGAGAATGTGGGTCCTTGACCCCTCCTGAAGGTGAAACTGGAGACGCTCGGCAGGAGATACTCAGGTCTTCCAGGCCCAGGTTTTATTTTTGCACAGATGTCAGAGGCCTGCAGGGAGACGCGTCGTTGTTCCTCGTTGCCTGAGCCAAGAGTCCGTGTTTCTCTGACCAACAGGAGAGGCAGGTGAGACGTCTGGACACGCTCTTTGTTCGGCTGGGAGCTTTCTCTCCGAATCAATAACGGAGAGCCATTCGATGACAGCAACATGCACGGGCGTCCGGCCAACCACGTTACAGCTGCATATTAAAAGCAGAGGAGCACACGGAAGCCGGTGGAGATGGGGGGACACAAAGGCCTCTCCACAGAAGCAGCAAGCAGCACACCACTCCATCTTGGTCCTGTCTGTAATGGCAGAGCTACAGTTCCCCCTGCTGTTGGCAGCAGAGACCTGGATCCAGCAGAGCAAAGGGGGTTCAGAGCAGAGGGGAGGGAGGGAAGAGCCACTGGATGCTGAGGAGAAGTCATGGCACAACACATTCAGGCCCTCGCAGCTCTTTGAAGGCAGATCAATAGCTAACCATTATCCTATTGTTGTTCCTCATCCAGCCAGCACTGGTGAAGCTGGAGGAAGAGGAGGGAGGAGGAGGGAGGAGGGGGGGGGAGTGGTGGTGAAGCTGAATGATGAAAACACAGGGATTTAGGAAAAAGAAGGCATGGAATTATCTGGGCAATCTGAGAATCAACAAATCACCAAAATTACTCTGAAAATAAAGAGAAGGGAAAAGTACAACAGAGTCAACCGTAACAGAAAGGCGAGACGGACACGGTGGGATTTTTATTTAGGTTGTCACGGGAGGCTTCATGTATTCTCAACTCATTTATCATCCATTTCATCTTTTTACTGAAACAAAAAAAACGTCTCAACCCATGTGATCTAAAGAAAAAAACCACCAGTAGCTAACCCGAAGCTAACGACACACTCAGCTGTTAAAACGCTACAACGAATAGTGCCAATGCTTACTGCCTTAATGTGAGTCAGAGAATATGGTACTAGGGTCAACACACACCTACAGTGCGCCCCACTGGTGATGGGCAGTGTGTGCCATAGAAACCAACAATCAGCTTTTAATGGAAACAAAAATATACTTTTTTAAGCAAAAAAATAAAGACAAAAAGAAGAATCAGATTTCAAAGGTGTTCAATAACCAAACCTCAAATGACAAACGCACCAGATCAACAGTACGTGTGACAAATGGAGCAGAAAATGTCTCCAAACACACCAAAAAGGGACAAATCTGAAGAAAATCTCTCATCCTCTCTTTGGTTCTCTACCTCCTCTATCCCTCTAACTCCATTAGCCCCTCAGCCCTTCTCTCTTCCTCTCTATATTGATGCGGGTATTTAATTAGTACCATAGACACAAAGTTTTTATTTCTTGTTACTATTGTGCTCTGTTGTGCAGACGTGAGGCACCTTGTTGATAAATCAAAAACATAAAAAGGAAGGACTTTTTAAAAGAAAAAGAGGGATGCAAGGACTTAGTCTGTGAAGGAGGATTTTATTTTTTTGTTGCATTGTGTGTGAATACAGACCGGAAGGAGACATTTACCACGACAAAGAAGGGGACGAGGGGGGAGGATGAAGCAGGGAGTGGCTGGGGAGAAGAACAAACAACGGGACACTTTTTCAAATCTGGCATTTTTGTGTCAGAACCGTGGAACTCTCAGCTCCCTTTAAGATGAATCTCGACAACGGGAGAGAAAAAAAATAAAACCAAACACAGCCAGGGGACAAAACGTGACCTCTGCGCGTCCTGGCTGACTCAGTGTGTTCTGCTGGAAGAGGAGGGATGGGATGGGGTGGGGTGGGGGGGGGATACAACCTGGGACTCAATAGTTATCTGTGTGGTCTTAAGATGCAACTGTAGCATTTCCAACAATGTAGTCAGATTAGCGGCAAAGATTAGATAAGAAATGGTCATTGTGGAGGAGCTGATGGAGAGGCACCGACTAACTTCATGCTGCTGTAAGCAGTGAGTTAATGTCGCCAAAAGAAGATGAGCTTCAATCGACTTGTTGTACACAGTTCAGTGAGCAAACAGCTAGATTCACTTCTAGGTTTTAAGCTGACAAAATGACATTTGTTTGTAGTGAGAACCAGTGTGGCTACCTCACTAAGCTGAGTGGTTTGTGAAACCGCCACTGATACCAAAGATACTACAGCCTACCAGTCGCAAACAGCCTAGGGGGACGGTCAAGACAACAAAACCACCCCTCCCGCCGTGCATCATTACAAAACACACACCGACATTAGCAATATTAAAGATGCGCACACACTTTCATTCGTACGAACAGTGCAGTCAGACTGCATCATGCCACATAGGAGGAGGTGGCAGCCTTGCAGAAAGAGTTGAGTGCCTTTTCCCTTCAACCACGGGTGGAACTGCACTGCTCGCACGCACACACACACACACACACACACACGCACACACGCACGCACGCACACACACACACGCACACACACACACACACACACACACACGCACACACAGACAATGCTCCCATAATTGGATGGACAGAAACGGGGGGGCCAAAGAGAGGGACACAGAGCGGGGGGGCTGTGTCAGCATTTTCTCCCATATTGACTTTTCATCTTGATACACTAGAATACAAGCACTTTATCACGTAGAAAGTCTATAAAACATTTTCTATACACTATTTATTTGAAGCAAAACCATATGTTCCTGTTTAATCCTTCAGTCTTTTGTATTGTTGATCGTTTGCCCCCCCCTTTTTATTAATTTCATCTTTCAAAACTCCCTTTCTTTTGCGCTTGATCCCAGGGTGCTTTACGCTCGCAGGCCCTTTTACCTCTCTCACCAGAGATATTTTTGTGTAACAGAGACAGAGAGGGGCACAAAAGGCCGTGGGCAGAAACACTCACAGGGTTTAACAACCTCTCTTTCTGACCACCGCGTGCAAGCACAGAGGCTGCACTGGAAAAAGTGTGGAAACTCATAGACTTCCTGTTAAATAACACACACACTCCTCCTTCCACCTCGTCACACACACACACACACCCCCCCCCCCCCCCCCCCCCCCGGCTAGTGCTAAGACTCGGTAGGCGTGTGTTGACAATTTAATTCTGAAATACCTCAAAAACCTTTCATGTAAACTTTATGTAATTTAAACTGAAAATAATAACTGCTACTGATAACAATGATTATGAAACTATGATACTATGATAGTTAGTTTTGGAACTTGTGACTTGAAGCTTTATACTGTTAAATTCCTTTTATTTGTTTGCTTATTTTTCTGGTATTTGTTTTTGCCACGGCATGTACTTACTGTTTTCATAAAAAGGAAAAGACATTGTGAATGTTTCTGTGGAGGACTAGCTGAGAAAAGATGAGAGAGCAGACGGACAGAGGGAGCTTTAGATGTTTAGTTTTGAAGTTCTCCCTCGTGAGCGGCTAGGGAGAAAAGAATTAGAGAAATGAAATTTGAGATGTAAACCAAATTGTTTTGATGTTAAACCAAAGAAGGAATAATCTTACATTCAGTGTTAGCTTTCTTCTGCCTTTAAGTTGTCTTTTCTCTAAAGAAAGAAAAAAACCCACCAAAAAATGTTTAAAAAAAGTTTCACAGTTACTTTGAAGGTCCCTGGGTGTGTTCAAGTGCTCCTGATGTTCTTAGAATATTAAAGACCAGCGCCTTCTGTTGAGAAGAAGGTGCCTTTTGCTTTTCTTTTGTGCATGGATATTGTATAACTGTATAGAAACCAACAGGAATGACCTGTGATTTTTGTGGGGAGAGGAGCCAGATGGGAACACTTGGGAGTGGGTGGAGAAGGGGGTGGGGGATATTTTTGTTTATTAAAACAGACAACAGCAACAAAAAAAAAAAAAAAGAAAAGAAAAAAGAAAAAAAAGGGTGACAGAATTTGGGTTGTGGACATTGGAGGGGTCCTTGTTTTTAGAATGTCCGTCACTGTTGGATTCTCTGGTTGTGTGCATGTGTTGTTGCGACCCCCTCCCCCCACCCCTGTTTATTTGATGTATATAAATCCAGACAGTAGGGGGCAGTGTGTGCTGGGGGAGGTCAAACTCCTCTCCTCCCAATCAATAGCATTCAATCTTCATTCCTCAGCTTGTGGTCCACACTCGGGTCTAGAAAAGTGTGTCTTGCTTTTTCCAAAGACGGGCTGTTTACTTGGAGTTAATCAAAGGGACACACGCAGATCCGAGCGGCCTTGACTATTACCCGTACGTTTGTCTACTCGCTTTTCTTCAATCTGTGTATATGTGTTCATTTGTACCTCTGTGCAGACGCTGTTTTCTACTTTATGTTCCGTTACTATGGGTTGCAATATTTGTCATGCAAAAATTTGAAACCATTTCTTATTGACTGACTGACCAACAAACCGCAGCGCCACGCGGCAACCGCTGGTCCGGCCTGAATTGTCCTGTGCATTTCCTGTCAAACAGAATCTGTGTGTCATTTCCCAGCTGGACCGAGCAGGTTGCCGGTGGAGACTGCTGTAGACACCCCCAGTCACACTGTGCTCTCCCTCTTCTGTTACCTGTTAATCAATCAGAACCAAGTGTCTTTGTGATGGTAGAAGACAATCAGTTTCAAAACAAGAAAAAAGGTAGAGAGAGGGCAGGCCAGTGGGGAGGAGGAGGACAGGGAGGACGGAAGAGTGAAATCATGGGAGAAGAGGCTCTCTGACTCCAGACAAGCTGTAAAGTGCGACTGCCAAATGACTGCCCCTCCACACCCACACCCACCCCAATCCTCACTCAAATACTCATCTCAGCCAAATTTCAAAAGCAAGTCCACTTTTCACCCCACACCACCTCCTGCCACTATGGAGGAGTAGAAAAGTTAAGAACGTCCACAGTCCCTGTCACCCATCACCTGATTCCTGCTAATCTGATGAAGATGTAGCCAGCCGCGAGGAATTAAAAAAAGGCTCCGGTTGGTGGCTTTTGCACAGAGAACTATGCAAACACCTGACCCTCCCAATCTTAATCGTTGCTGCTGGGTCAGTGTGTACAACCCTCAGTCTCCTCCACATTCACAGACACATGTTCACCCTCCTCCACCTCTTCTTGTTCCACTCACCTTGTGAGCTGAAGTAACGTGGAGCTACCCCTGGTCACTCAGTTCTTTGGAGGAGTGGCTTTGAGACAAGAACAGCTCTACAGCACCCCACGTTTCAGTCACAGCTTCACGCAAACACCCCATACTGCCACTGCTGCCCAGATCGAGTCCATGCTGATGTCTGTAACCTGACCTCTACCCCCCCCCCCCCCCGACAGATGCACACACACAAACACGCTCATGGATCCATTGTCCATACAATGTTTGACTGTCTTTGTCCACAGCGCCAAGGAAGGGCCACAATCAATGCAAAGACTCTCACATTGTACCTTCTTGAGTTTACAAAGTCGTCTGGAGACGGTGGCTTATATTGCACTTGGACAGACCAACAGACACACAAACAGACACAGGCACATGCTAGAGAGGGTGAGTCTGCCTTTTGAGAGTGTTTTCTGGAACCGAAGATGAAATCAGAGGTATGACAATCTGGCTGCCAAACCTACAAGACGATGTTCAGCTCTCCAGGCTGCTCTACGGGTTCCTGTGATTTACCGGCAGAGTGGACATTCCACTGCCTGGACTTAAACACACACACACACACACACACACACACACACACACACACGCTCACGCACGCACGCACGCACGCACGCACACACACACACCCCAGCTGCACAAAAACGGGGGATCAGACCCGCTCACATCTGCTCAGAAAGCCTCTCTTCCCTCCCCCTCCCACTGCAGAAGCCGGAGAGCATGTGGAGGACTTTTGTTTCACTCTAGTCGAGACTCTCGAGAAGGAAAAAAATCTGAGTAAAAACTGTTACAGAAAAATAAAAACTTAAAAGGATAATATGGGTAAAAATTGCGTGTTTTGAAATAAATTAACAAATAAAACAATTGTTAAACCAAGCTGAGCTGTTGGGTTTTGTTGTGGTTTGAAAATGATCAAAGAGATAAAAGTTGAAATGGAGATCTTCGCAACAGATAAACAACAAAGGTCAGAGATGTTTAAAGAACTACAGCAAGATTAACTTTATTAATATATAAACATTTCTCTTAATGCTTTTTCAGTTATATAATTTTTGCATACATTAGTCATGGTAAGATGTAAATTCTCCATTGAAAGGTTAGAAAATATTTTTAAAACAGTTAACGGTTAAAAAATTAAAAATATAAACAAGTCATTCACCTACACAAATAATAACTTCTGCATTAAAGCTCATTCGTGATTTTCATCACTGGTACCAGCCCAGTCCTCGCCATGTGACTTAAATAAGTCTTTCGATCTTTTTCTTTTTATCACCATTGGAACAGGTCAGCAATCTCAAAACCAAGCAGAGGTCTTCTTGATTTCTAGGTCTGGGCAGATTTAACCCTTTATCTCTTGAACTTGTGCACATTGCAAGTCTTGAGTTGCAGCTTGAATCAGAAACATAAAAAAAAAAGAAATAACTCCCACAAAGTGTCAACATTTCAAAAGTAAAAAATGTTAATTAAGAAAAACATGATATTTAATGAAATGAAAATTTTTTTGGGGAGTAAAGGTTGGTTTATGCTTGACGCGTCCGCGAGGTTCGCATGGCTCTGCACGGAAAAGTTGCGTCATTTTAACAACCACGCCCCTCCACCGCGCCTCCGCATGGCCCAGAATTTCCGCAACGCGCACCTTGGAAAATTTCTAACCACGCAGATGATCGGACGCGGAAAAACATGGCGGACCGGCAAGAACTAGTATGACAGAGGTTCGTAAATACAGACATTTGTATGATTCAGCTCTCAGAGATCGCCGTGATCAACATGTTGTTAATAATTCTTGGAGAGAAATAGCTCGCACTGTCGGAAAAGACGAGGACGCTGTTAAAAATGCTGAAATGCCATGTTGTAAACACTAATTTCTACTTCTACTATGGTGTAGTGTTGGATGTTTGCCGTAGAGCGCCATGCTGCCCCGTTCAGTTTGGGAGAATATTGGCTCACCGCAGAGACGAGACGCACGAACCATAAACGCTGCGAGTTGTGAAGCGCGTTCCATCCCCGAGCCGCATCACCAAGCGGAAAGTGAATGCGTCAAGCATAAACCAAGCTTTAGAGTGGCAGAGGAGCAAAGTGCCCGACCAGTAATAAGAGGGATGCAGACTGCACTCCTCTCCATCTGTTGCGGTTTCCTTGCCAAGACACTTGCCCAACAGTGGTGTCTGTGTACAGCAGCCTCGCCTCTGTCAGTGAGACCCAGAGCAGCTGTGGCTACATTGTAGCTCATCACCACTAGCGGGTGAATGAGCGATTCACTGTAGTGTAAAGCTCTTTGAAGTGCTGTAGAAGTGCGTGATAATTACCATCGATCATAAAACAACTGTATAAAAACAGACAGTATATTTGTACCCTCAGTGTGTGCACTTTGAAGGATTACCCTCTGTGCCATCTTAACAGAGAAGATGTGCAGACCTTCAGATTACTAAAGTTTACTTGTTTATGCCAGAGTCCCTGTTGTAATCACGCTCTCATCCTTGGACAACTCAGTGCTGCGGATTGAAGTGGCTGAGCTGATGAAGCGCCCAGGCCCGGCTCCCTGAGAGATGGCATAAGAAGAGCGGCGGAGAGGCGTTCCTCTCCTGAAGTTTGCCCTCAGAGCCACGGGCTGGAGAGGGGTGCTGTGGACCTACAACACAGCAAAAACAAAACAAAACAATGCTAAAATGGAAAAGACCTTTCACCAAAATCTGTTTAACATCCAATAATACCTTTGCAAAATTCAGCATTACGCCAAAAGGAATCTAATTTTTTTAACTAAAAGGAAATTCTGTAAAAAAAAGAGTTATGTGTTCTTGCAAACAAACTCTTCATGTATACATCTGTCAGGGAATATAACTCACCTTGTGTTTGTTGTGGACTGAGAGGATGACACCGAGGGCGTGAATGGTGAATGAGGGCAGGACAGCGGTCCAGGAGGTGAGGAAGGCTGTGAGCCACACCACTGGATCAACAAAAGCTTTGTCAGACACTCCTGGTGAAAAACAAACAGGAATTATAACATCTCACCACGTTTTTAATAATAATAATCTCAATTTAAATGATCAACTTTAGTTGCTCCTTAGACATCCAGTTGGCCATAGAAGCAGCATCAGTATATGCTCTGAAAGTACCCATGAAGCTGTAGTCGGTAGGTGACTTCTCAAAAAGACGAGCGTTTTGGGTGATTCTGGTGCAGATGAAGAACAATACCAGAGAAACACACACAGCTGCTATGCTGAACTTTGTCCAAAACCTGGTCAGCACCACAATCTGAGACAGAAACAGGTCAGTGTAAGCCAAAAGCAGGGCGGGACACCTGGATGTTGTGTGATGTAATAATAATAATAATAATGCATTGAACTTATATAGCACTTTTCTAGACACCCAAAGACGCTTTCACACACTCTCACATTCACACACTGCTAGTGATGGTAAGCTACTTGTAGCCACAGCCGCCCTGGGGAGGTCTGACAGAGGCGAGGCTGCCATTTGGCGCCGTCGGCCCCTCTGACCACCACTAACACAGGCAAGTTGGGTGAAGTGTCTTGCCCAAGGACACAAAAGCAGGATACCCCTGGCGGGAGCTGGAATCGAACCCATGACCCTCCGATCATGAGGCAACCCGCTCTACCACCTGAGCTACTGCTGCCACTGAGCATGGAAGAGACAGAAGCTACTCAGATAATGATGATGTCTTTTCACAAGACGTTTCAAACTTTTACTGCTATAATAACAATACTTCAGCACCAGCACTTTAAATATTTGTAAGTCAAAAGGTGATCCTGACCTCGATTGTGGCGGCAAAGGTTGCTGCCATGGCAACGGTGAGTGCCATGGTCTGGTAGTCATAAGGAGTGTTGAAGAAAACTCCAAATGGGATGAAGAAGAGAATGAGCGATGAGTAAACGGCGTACAGAAGGTGCAAGATGAGCTTCATGGTGATGGAGACCGTCTGGTTCTGGTTCTGTGCACACCTGTACAGCTCAGGTGACTTCAGGCTGTTTTCTGCACTCACATCCTGTCACACAAACCAGACAGCCTTCACCATCAAGGAGATTGTTTTCATCTGATCTGCTGGTGGATGAAACTGACCTGTTCAAAAATGGCTTGACACATGACCGGCGATGCTGTGTAAAACACGGTGTAGAGGGCGATGAACCACGTCTCGTACAGGGACTGGCAGAGACATAATCTAGTCTGTAAACTTCACATCTTGAAGGGATCTTAACGTATGGCATCATTCTGATTTCTGCTAGATTTCCAACCTGAGCACTGAAGCCGTTGAACAAACCAAACCAGACATGCACAAGAGCAAAGCCGCAGGTCTTAAACAGGAAGTAGCAGAGAAAGAGAGAGATTCGGCGATAGGACCAGCGACCATGGACCAGCAGCAGTCTCTGTAAAAATCTGAACTGGGATAATGCAAAGTCAGCATTCTGTACGGCCTGGCCTCCCTCCACTCCTGCCAGTCCCACTCCAACGTGAGCCGCTGGTGATGTTACACACAGGAAGAAAAATGTAAAAACACAAACCCGGCATTCAGATCATTCACTCAGTCATCTTTCCGTTCCTCCTGACTCACTCTTGATCATGTTTACGTCGTTGGCTCCATCGCCGATGGACAGGGTGACCGAGGTGGTGTGTTTTCTGACCAGCGCGACGATGTCAGCCTTCTGTGCGGGCGTGACTCTGCAGCACAGGACCGACTGGCACTGTTTAGCCAGCCTCATGAAGGAAGCCCCCCACTCGGGTCTCTGGTCAAACTCTGCCTGAGGTAAAACACCATCAGGGAGACAGACGCACACTTAGCATCACTACTGATTATTTCAGATAAGACACAAATGTCTGGTGCCACGTGTCTGAAAAAAGTACAAAAATATATCCTGAAAACTTACATTTTGAACAAAATATATATGAATATATTCATGATTCAAGGTGTTAAATACATATGGAAACGCACGGCTGCAACACACGCAAAACAAAATTATAGCAATTTGACTTTATAAGAGGATAATTATATGGTACTTACAATACAATTGTCACATTTGAACAATATTAAACAAGCTTGATGAAAATGTACATTGTAAGAATGTAAAAATTGCTTTATTAAAACAAAAAAGCATCAGTTATTTATTATTTCTGAAAACAACAGGGTTGTTGACTGCAACAGGGAGTGTCCATCTTTCATTACATTTTAACAACGACTAAAAGGTGGTTTTTATCTGATCAATCCCGCAAACATAATTAATTATTTTGCTATGATTATAGTATTGTAGCAGGTTGCAGGTTTGATCTCAGCTTCAACCAGAGAATTCTGCTGTTGTGTCCATGGGCAAGACACTTAACCCGCCTTGCCTGCTGATGGTGGTCAGAAGGACCGGTGGCGCCAGTGCTCGGCAGACTCGCCTCTGTCCGTACGCCCCAGGGAAGCTGTAGCTACATCGTAGCTCATCCCCACCAGCGTGTGAAAGGGTGAATGACTGATTGTGTTGTGAAGTGCCTTGGGGGGTTATAGAACACTAAGAAGGCACTATACAAATACAGGCCATTTACCATAACTGGATTTCAGTTTTTAAATATGTTTAGTCTGTTTGCGGATAACTGTTAGCGAATGTTAATTTGTATTGTATTAATACTGCTGACACAAGGTGGGTTGGAGGAGAAGGACCCAAAATGCAGAACCAGATGAATGAGGCAGAGGTGGAAGGTAAAAATAAAAATCCTTTATTTTAGGAGAAATCCTCGAGGGAAGGGAGCCAAAACACCAAAATCCAAAAAACAACACTTGAGATCTAGAAACACTCGAGACTAGAGAGGAGAACAAGACGAGACTGACAGAGAACAATGGACCAACAAAACGCTAAGACAAAGACAGGGCTTATGTACACTGGGGCACGATGGGAGGCAGATGGGCTGCAGGTGTGTGGAGAGAGACTCAGGTGAAAGCAATTAACTAATATTCTAAGGGGAAGGGAAAAACTACAAACACTGGTGGGAAAAAAACACACTAAAGAGACTAATAAAAATGAAAAGCTGAAACTTTAAAAACCACATAGGGGTGACTGGGGAAGACTAAAGGAACACAGGACCTGGGAGAGATAATCTGGAGGGCTGGAGATCTGGGAACACCGAAAGAGAAACTACAGGGGGGTTGACTGGAGAGACCCGAGAAGCTGGAAAACCTCCAGGAGGCACATGAGGAGAACACAGAGGACAAACAGGAGGGGGCTGGGGTCCAAGGGGACACAGAACATGACAACTGCAAGGCTAGACTTTACAGCAATCCCCGTTCTAAGCAAGTCTACTGGGAGTTGGGGAAGACAGAGCACACACACGCACGTACGCACACACACACACTCACACGCACGCACGCACACACTCACACACACGCACCGTGTTTCTATGGCTGCATACATAACCATTTCTTAGTAGAGATTATACTGTAACGAAATAATTTTTTCATAAACTTGTTATTATGTGCAATAATTACCTTAATTATCTAATTTGCAATCATACTCTCGTGTGATATCTTTTGTGTGCCACTGCTGCTATCATCTGTTTTTGAGCTGTTGCAATAATGCAGTTTCCCCACTGAGGGACAAATAAAGGTATTCTCATTCTTATTCCTATTCTTAAACTTTTTAATCTTTATATTTAAAGTACATTGTCCCTCTTAAGCAAATAAATGCATAAATTAAGAGGGTTTAAACTAATAAAAACTTTGTTGTAGATTAATTTTTGTGGATATTTGCACAACATAAACCCAGAGCTATTCATTAATGTTCTCCATCTTCTCTTCAGCCTCAAATAAGTTTTATAAATGAAGATGCAAACTATCGGAAGCATGACTTTTATACACAAAACCAAACTTTTTGGCATCTTAGCCTTGTTTACCAGCTCAGATCCGGTGAGAACCACAGAAGTTTTGACTCTGGCGATCTTGTGTGCCGCCCACAGATCTGTCTGCCTGGCTTTGTCGAAGTTGACCTGAGGGTCCAGCGACTGGAGTATCTGTCTGCATCAGCAAACAAACAATGATCAATGGGGTGTTGAGAGTGTGTGCATGCAGGGGGGGGGGGGGGGGGGGGGGGGGGGGTTCTGAGCATTTTCTTATTATTTATTTATTTATTATATTTTTTTTATATATTTATTTATTTATTTTTGACTCTGCAAACCTCAGCTCCTGCCATTCCAATAATCTGGAATCAGGATCCAGCAGTCTACAAGAATATCCAACATTCACAGCAGTCTCTGCAAACACAGGAGGAAATAGAGTGAAAATCTACTTTTATGGCAGTAAAGAAATCTGGTAATCCTTCTAAAACATGTCAACATACCCTTTTTGTCTCCAGTCAGCACCCATACTTTAATTCCAGCTTCTCTGAGCCTAGCAATAGTCTCAGGAACTCCGTCCTGAAGACGATCCTCAATCGCGGTAGCCCCCAGAAGCTGCAAAAATATTAATTTATCATTATTTACGTAAGCTCTTCATTTTGTCTTTGTAGCATGACCTAAGGAAAGAGAAATATATCAAATTTGTGTGTTAAATATTACAGTAAATAAAAATCACCCTAAAGAAAGGGTTATTTTACTTAGATGTCTGAAAATCTTTTACTGAGAAGCTTAATTAAAATAAGCAGGTAAGACTGAGAATGCACCTGTAGGTCTCTCTCCATCTCATCATACAGCTTCTCCAGTGCGACGTCTCGCTCCGCCGTCGCCATGATGGAACACTGGGTAAGGGTTTTACTCCACTTCTCCCATGATGCCTCAGGAACAGATCGAACCGCAATACACAGAGTCCTCAGAGAGGCCTCAGCAAACATCTGACAGGAGATGAGTTAATAAGCTTTGTGTGTCGCTGCACTTCATTTACAGAGTGATCTTTTATGCTGAACTAAGACTGACTGAAGAAATGAGAGATGTGACAAAGGTTTGACAGAAACAAAAACACATTTCAGTGATTTCTGTTTATTTCCTAATCTGTTTGAACATTTCATGATCAAACATTTATTATAGTCAAAATACCAGATGAAGTCTTTGGTAGACATTATCTGAGAAGAAAAATGGACATTCTTTGAATACTAACATTTAAACCAAAGCTTTTACCTCCAGCGCTTTTTCAGTGCTTTCCTGATGAGGACAGTCCCTCTGCAGTCTCTCAAGAATCACAAAATCTGCTCCTTTACAGTAGAGCTTTAACCCACCGCCTGGCTCTCGCACTGTCAGTGAAAACACAGAATCATTATGAATACAAGAAGGTGGAGTTAAGTACTCAGGACAGCTGATCATGCAGAGTCCTCTAACCCAGGACCGACATGCGCCTCCTTTTGCTGGTGAAGTCCAACAGTGCCAGCAGCTGATACTGGCAGGAGACACCCAGCTCGGACACCTCGATGAAATCTCTTGTCCTGCAAAGAAAGACCCAACCAAGTTCTCTGGCTGCACCAACAAGAGCTTCTTCATCTGGAGACGTTGCCTGGTAAACAGGAGAAACTGCAAGGAGAAGAGTCACATAAGTGGCCATGAAACATCATATTTAAAGGTGCATTTTTCATTAAATATCCCACAAACACAAAACCCAACCTTCCTTCCACTCTGCCGTGACAGTGTGACATAAGGCTAGTGCTGTGAGGAAGTGTCTGCTGAGTGGACACTGTTGTCCTCTGAGCCTGTCCACCAGGCTGGGGGCAGACATGTGGAGCCCACCACAGGAGAACGGATTCCAGCTCAAGTCCATCGGCTGCAGGTCCAAGAAGGAAATGGGGACACAGAAAAATGTTAGAATAAAGTGACATCATGTTATGTAGAAAAAGAAGAAAACTGTGGAATCTGGTTTGACATTTTATGTAAAAAAGGCAAAAATGTTTAAAAAAAACACAAATGAAGTAATTCCTGCAAAATAATAACTTTAACTGATTTAATTACCTAAAGTGAATTAAATATTACATTAAAGTGCTAATGTTAATGCAAAAATCACAGCTTATTACATTTTATTCTATCAATTTTATCATTTAATTTAGGGCCAAACAGACAAAAGCCAATATTATAGAGATTACAAATATTACCTCTACATCCTCTGCTCTGACTGATGCATCACCTGTAGCAGTGGAGATATTTGAAAAGTCACCATTGCAGGTAAAATTAGTTACTGTTGTAATGTTTTCCTATAAGGAAGATGAAAAACAATCAGGTAAAGCAGAAAAAAGCAAGAAACAACAGAAGCGTGTGCCTGTTTCAATAATCATTATCATGATCATTTTAACTTGCTTCTTGAACACGGACAGTGTTCAAAGGAAAATAGAAAGGAAATGGGAAAATGTGGTCAAACATTTTAGACAGATTTCAAAATAAATTCCTGTTTGATTTCTGTTGATCTGAGGAGCAGTTGGCCAAAATGTCACTAATATCTAAATGTTTTGCATTAAGAGCTTAACTGAAGTAAGGAAAACATTTTTCATTGCTGTGCAGAATAAGTTTTGATCCTGCACCATCTCCATATGGACTGTGTTTGTGTGTCTGTGTCTTTGTCTTAATTTGTTTGCATAATTTGACTTTGTGTCATAACCTTACAAAACGTTGGATACGGAGGTTCTTTTCAAGTTCTCCTTAGGAACCCAAACGAGAGAACACACATACTGTAACAAACACAGTCTAAAGCAGCAATGAAGAGGAGAACATTTACATTTTCACTGAAAAAATTTGTTCAGTTTTCACCCTTCGGCCAAACTTTACAAATAATGAAATGGAACATATTCTAGAAACAGGCAAAACAAATCATCGTTCATTTTACACACATTTTACCTTTAGCTGCGACTGAAGATCAGATAGCAAGTCTATAATCATGAAACATCATTGTGCACAGCTTCACCTTGACCCCTTATCTTTATTGCACATTTTAAACACCCACTTTTTCTGAATTGTTCAGGGTTATTCAGTTACTTATTGTCCTGTAGATATATAAAATATCAATTCTAAAAAAATATAGATTCTATTGTGCTCTATCAATTTAATTGATGTTTAATGCAAAGAACAGAAGCCATCAGAGAAAATACAGCTGAACTCTTTGGGGATGGATTCTAGCAAAAAGAAAAAGTTACTCGAACTGAATACAAGCCTCTAGATTTACCTTCAGGTTACGAGACAGTTCTGTTCGGGATTCTATAATAACAAGTCAGTAATTGTTACCGTAGATCTCTCCGGCGATGCAGCATTGTCTGAAGAGCAGCCGGTTCTGGGTCAACGTCCCAGTTTTGTCACTTAGCAGGTAACCCACCTGGCCCAACTCCTCGCTTAGCGAGGTGTTTCTGGCCTCGGCCGGCCTGTCTCCTTGCTGCCAATACATCTCCAGATCCCAACCGATGAACTTGCTGTGGATTGTGTGGATCACTTCAAACCTGCGGACACGTTTGTGTAAATAATCAGAAAACGTGTTTGGTGACTTCTTTCCTGCCCTCCCAATATTAGGACTAACGTGATGTAGAGTGTTATGGGCATGGCTGGGCCGAGGAGGATGATGTAGCTCCAGTAGATGAGGAATCCGGTGTAGGCTGGATTGTTGTCCACCACCAGAGCCGACAGCACCTGTGTCCATCTCATGACCTGGCTGGAAAACACACCACAGCCTACAGCGAGGAGCAGAGCCACCAGCAGAATCGACAGAACAATCTGAAAAAAAAAAGAACACAAACTGTTCACGAGAACTTTTCAGGACATTTGTTGTTGCCCTTCTGAACTTTACCCACTCACCCCGATCACCAGCTTGTTGAAGATTTTCTCCAGTTGAGTCCTTTTCACTCTCAACTTCCCACAGTTTCTCAGGATTTTAGTGTCAGCACCTGGATTGAAACAAATAACCATAACCTCCAAATCAGAAAAGAGCGTTCTGCAGCCAGAGGATGAAGGTTCAAGTTCTCATGTCAACAAGCCTCTGCTGATGCGTCCTTCAGCAACATGCTGTTTCTCCTCCACCTCCAAACGATGCCTGACCCCCTGCTAAGGCTGGGAATGTTCCTTAAAGGGATCAATAAACCATCACAGTATGCTTCATAAAGAAACACTAAAGATTCTTTAACACTATAACTATTGGTGTTTTACCAGGCAGCTATTGCTTTCCAAGTGGGTTTCAGTGATTCTTGAGGCAGAAACCTAACAAACTTCCTATTATACAGCATTCTCTAACCCTTGGATGATGAGAAACCACACTTAACAGTTTAGCAGCAAGGGCAGGTGCACTAGGTGGAGCTCTCTACCTGTCATCTGTTAACTGTGTAGTAGCTAGCATAGATGCTAGCAGTTAGCTTTTTCAGTTCACTGACCATCAATAAAAAGCAAAAGGAGAATATAATATAATATAATATATATATTTTTTTGGCCAACAGTGTGGATGTTTTTAGTTTGTTTTTGTATCATTTGGCTTGTGTTAGTGTTGGCTAGTTGTTAGCACTAGCAGGCTGCAGCAAGGGGTGTTTTTTAAAGTTGTAATTCTGCTTTCAACCAGTAGGAGGGAGAAGCAGGAAACTTAGTGTTGTTTTAAGAGAAGCTGTTTTGGTCTAATGCAAACTGCTAACAGCAGTAACATGTCAGATTTGATCCAGGTCATTTTAGCGTAGATGGTACAGACATTACAAAACTAATATCTGGAAGAATGTTTTTTTTTGATAGATCCTCTTAATCAGATTGAATCAGTCAACTTTTTCTGGTCCCTTTCTAGAACATCTGCATCACTCTGCACCATACTTGGCTGGTAAACCATATTATACAATGTTGTGTGCATAAGTAAAGTAGAGACATATTTTTCTTCTTCATATTTGTTCCCTAAAACCAAATCCACCCCCTCATCAGTACCAGTATATATGGCCAGGCCGTAGACAAGCTTCGTGTTTCTTAAGACCGTTCCTCTCAGGAGAATGTGCTCGCTGTCCAGGGGAAAAGTCTCCCCCTGCCAGTGTAGCTGACCCCTGAAGGTGTACAAACGATTGTTTGGTTCCTCGCAAAGCACAACACCTGCAGGTTAAAAGGTTTAATCAGTTTAGTTTAAACAAGTACAAAAATCGAAACATGACATCCTATTAGGAAACTTGTATTCACCATCAAAGGCACTAAGAGCCTCCTCTGACGGGTTGGAGGTCAGATAGTTGTGAGTAGCACTGAGCGCCTGTCGGTACTTCAGGTTAGTTTCACTGAAGGAAAAAAAGAAAAGAAAAGTTTTATTTAGCAGTAAAGTAAAAAAACGTTTGAGAAACTAAAGTAATGTGAATGTAATGAGTAAAGACACACGTACAAACTTTAAAATAAAACAAAATCAGGATAAAGATAAAACAAAACAAACTGATCTGTATGAAAGATGTTTTACATGTTTAACTCTCATGACTGCATCATTCAAATAGCAGCAAGGAGAGGCAGGGCAGGACGAGATCCGCTTTGAGATGTGGAGCTGGCATGGTTGACACATCTCTTTAATGCTGCATGCAGGACAGGTAATGCATGTGGAGTGACAGATGGAGATGATGGTCATGATTTTCAGAAAGGAGTCTGCTCTGACTTTCAAAAGAGCTACACTAGTTAGCCTCACAAAGGAAAATCTACTCCAGTGTGCTCAAAACTTGGATTTAGGAGAAGCAACATGCTTTTATCCAGGTTGGAGTATGGGGTGTAAGGGTGACTTTTAAGGGCCCTTCGGTCCCCGCACAACATCAGCAAGAGTTGTGTCTGCATTTTCAGCAGAAAGACTTTTTGGTTCTTTTGGTGCCTTCAAACCATGACCGTTAGCCAGCACGGAGGCGATTCATGGTAAAGTGTAAAGTGGCCATGATGAGCATCAACTCCTTAAGTCTGAGGTTGAGAACCAGAAACAGGTAGAAGGCTTGATGTCTGGTTTGTGACGGATGGCAGGACAGAGGAATAGATGGATCAAGAGACTGAAGAAGAAGAAGAAACAATATGTGCCTCTCAAGAAAAAGTTCATGAGGCACTTCACAAGAACAAAAACATTTATAAATAAAAGAAAAAAAGATTAAGTTATTAAAATATCATAAAACATTTGATAAAAAAATGTGATAAAAACTGTGAGAAAAGGGAAAGAGAAAATGAATACGAAGGAGGGGCCTCGCCTGCAATAATAATAATAATAATAATAATAATAATAATAATAGTAATAATAATAATAGATTTTATGTGTGAGAGCCTTTCAAGACTCTCAAGGTCGCTGAAAATAAAACATGAAACAAATAATAACAATAAATAAATGAGACTTTGCTCTGATTTGTGATATTCACAATTTTTTTTAGAAGTTTCCATACGGTATGCTTTTTTTACCCATCAATATCAGCTGTTTCCACGTGACAGAGACTATGAGGCTCTGAACTGCACAGAAGAAGAAGATCAGCCTGCAAAGACAAAAGACACACTTAAGGAGGAGAAGAAGGCAGAATTCCAGCTATGGAGAATGAACAAACAGCTGTTGGGCTAATAAAATATTTTTATTACAACTATGCTGTGGATAAGAACGTTCAAACCCTTTTAAACAAAGGAACTGGTATTTTTGTTTGCAATAGTGAATTCTTGGGCTCACTGGGATGACTTGGTCTTTGTGGATCCGGAGCACATCTCCAACATGAACATCTTTCCATTGAGCTGTGCTGAAACTAAAACAATGAATGATATATAATATACAATTAGCATTAATAATTTGCATGATAAAGTCATTAACATTACAAAACATAGATATATGTAAAGATATTATAATTAATGAACTACACTAGAGTGACCTAAAAATGTACAACTATGGCAAAACTACATCTAAACACACACAAAGATTTTATTTAAAGGTTTGTTTTAGTCCTCTAATGTTCCAAGAAGACTTTGTGTTTGCTCCGGTTCATGAAGGGACCATCCAGGATTTCAGTCATTTACACTTCATTAGAGATTCATTAGCGGACTGTTTCATAGTGGAGTTGTGCTGACTCCTGAGAGAATAACCTAGTGCCTTTGCCTTCACCTCTGGGAGAAAAGTACGTCACAGGGTCGGGAGTTAATCTCAGAGTCACATCGTCTCCTTGCCTGAATGAGATGGAGAGACAGAGACAGGTGGAAAGAGTGAAAACGAGCATTAGAGGACAGATGGAGACAGGTGACGAGGATGGGAGATCAGAGTGATGGACAAAGAGCATGTGAAAGGGAACGAGGGTGGGTGTGAAAAAGCCGAGCCAGAGAAAGGTAGAAGGAGTGATGCCATTACAGGGCTCTACAGTGACACCAGCTGGGAGATTTACACCCTCCACTAAATGATTAGTCAATAAAGAGGGGTCAAGCAAGCGTTTCACCCAGAGCTGTTAATGACCGTAACTCAGTGATGCACTTAACCGGAGAACTCTCCATGCAAAACATCACCCCGGCATTTAAAAGAAAAGGCTTTAATGATAGGAAGGAAAATTAATGCTGCGAGGATGACTGCTTTTGTCAATGAGGAGAGGACAAAGAGTCAATGAGGACAGTGAAGGAGAGAAAATAGAGGATGCATGCCGAGTATCATACATGCATGCATGCATGAGGCTGGGTGTGTATTCGGTGTTGAGATGACGCATATTTGTGAATGTGATGCATTATATGATGAGATACAAGCGAGTCAGAGATGCAGCGAAATCTCACCATGTCATTGACAAGGTCTTTGGTCCCCCTCACAGAGAGTATGGTCAGCAGTGGGATGATCGTGATGTACCACGGTATGGATGAGATGGCTGGGACACACTGGAGACCATGTTCACATGCATCAATAAAGATAATCCAGATTAGAAACACAACCACATCTAAAACTCAGACAGGTTCACAGACATAAAGCCAAACTCACACGTTTGTGGGTGAGACTCAACCCCATACCCTAATCCAAGAGCTGAATATTTACACAAGATCTTTGTCTTAAACTTTGTCATCAAGTCAGTCCTTCGCTGTTGGAGTCAAACCTGTCAGCAAATGTTTACACCACCCCTCCTTTTGTTCCCAACAGAAGACTCTCGTGTTCTTGATCTCCTGTCTGAAGTTCTTTCAAATTATTTCATTAGAGTTTGGGTTTTTTCTCACTCATTTTCAGATCACTACCCAACTGTTTTTGTTGCTTCTTGTTTGTTTACCCGCTAAACTTTGACCTGTGGATCATTCAGAAACGAATATGTAGCTGAACTGTGTCAACTGTTGACACATAAGAGAGCGCCTAAAAGGGTTTTATAGTCAAAGTCAATAAGAATGGTTGGAGATTATACAACTCAACACATAAACTAGCATGTTAGCACAAAAAAGTAAAAGTTGTGTTATAGATCATGTTTAGATTTTATTCTCAGGCCTGTTTCACACCAAATGTGGTACGGAGGCGAACCGGTTTCCCAAACGACTTCCAGACGAAGTCCGCTCACGCTGACGTGGTTTATGTTCTGAACGTCTCCAGGTATCTGCTCCCACAAGAGCAACAAATGACTAGAAATTTGGCACAATACATTTATAAATATACCTGTAAGAATAACGTGAACTGATATCCTGAAAAAAAAAAATACAGCGAAAATAATTCAACACTGCTTTTATTTTGAAATAAACCAGCTGCACCTCGCAGAAACATGTCTCGCTTCCTGTCCGGCTCTTGTCATTTCTTTAAGTTTATGACAATCCAAATCCGATGTCGGGAAAAAAATCAACTCCATGTGGAACCTTTCTGGAGCTCTGCATTTGGATCTGCAATGCAGCCGGTGAGAATGCTCTGATTGCACCCAATAACCCCGGCTTTCCACAGGAGCCGTCAGCAGCACGTTACTGCAGCAGCACGTCATAGCTGCTGATAGGAACCGCTGTGGTCAACAGAACCTTTTCCACTGGAGCCGACAGCAGCGCGAGTCGGCCGCGTCTCAGGAGCAGCATGTCGCGGCCTTTACGCGCCGGTTCTATTTTCTACGCGCGACGCCTCTGAAACGGGTCAAGTTCGACATTTTTGGGGAAGGAAAGACAGGAAATCGGACGCGAAAATGGAGAGAAGCTCCCAAGATTTTCAGAATAAAGAAACGTACTGCCTTCCGGTTGCTTTACTTTAAAAAAAAGTTACTAACTGTGCGGCCCCGTGAGAAGTTATCACCTAGCTAGCGGTCTCCTTTGTTTTTCAGGTCCGTATTGGCGATTATAAAACGGACAGAACATAAAACACAAACCTTTTGGAGCCATGTTGTAGTTTTCTCCTGCTTGTTGTTGTGTTTACTGACGAAGTCACTCATGTGACTTTGTGCTCGGTCGGTGACAGCTGCTCCCCTGCTGCTTCGCGTCTCGTGGGAAGGGCCAAGCAGCAGTTTACGCGAGCAAGACGTGCTGCTGCAGTAACGTGCTGCTGACGGCTCCCGTAGAAAGCTGGGGTAATTTGTGGAAGCTGTACAGAAGCCGGGCCACATCCGCTACTTATTTGGTGTGTGAAATAGGCTTTAAAGATGTGACTTTAGTTTTTTAATAAATTTATTTGGCTTGTCACTACGGCTTTTGTCTGTCTCTAGTTCACGTATGAATCTTTTTTCATTTGTAAACCCTCGTGGTGAGATGCAGAGATGGTTGAAAAAGCAGCTTAAGCCCAAAAACTTTCAGAAAGTTTGTCTTAGACCACTTTGGAAGCAAATGCAGCAGCTTGGGAGGAAAATATAAAGAAATCCACAGTCTATTGGACTTTTGCATTAGAGAAAAACATTTTTGGTCTTTTCAAAAACAGGAAAGCTGAAACAAGATGTGGGACCGGATGACAGAAGCTAAGCACTTTATTTTCCCTATCCGACCGGATCACATGTAAAACTGAAGCTGAGCTAATGACAGCATTAGATTGAATGTGTGTGAAAAACAAGTGACGTGAGCAGCTTCTACATCTGACCTGCAACACCAGCATGAGGAGGAAGTAGAGGTTCGCTGCTCGCTGGAACTGTTCAAAAAGCGTCAGGGGCAAGAAAGTCAGAGGGGAGTACTTGTAGCTGCGCACCACGTTGTCCTGGCAGCCAAAGGGAACAGCGAGCGACAAAACAAACAAGTCAAATGGAGCATTATAATAACATACAACTGTGTGGTGTCATGTGTGGCCCTATGGAAGCAGGGGCTTACAGAGCGTCGTCCCCAGCTGAAACACAGGAAGGAATTCTTCTGGTTGTGTCTCTGGTGGCAGCGGTCGTTCGCCCTGACCTCCCATGTAAAGCCTGATGAGTGGAAACGTAGAGCTTCTCTTCAGTCCTGTGACTTTAGCTGGACATCACTCAACGATGCGTGTGATACGTATATGAAGGACTCCATCTTCAGAAATCGTACTGTAATTTTTTTTTATTTTAAAAGCCTCTATGTTATGTTTATGAGCTGTGAAAGGGTTTACTTTAAATTGAGTTAAAATAAGTTACCATAGTTTTACGCTAGAAAGTCATTTAAATGGAAAACACGAACAATACTTTTTCATAGTTTAAATGCAAAAAAAGACAGAGAGAAAACGTGCAAGGACTTGTTTCTGAATAACCCGTCTATAGGCAACACATAAACAGACACTGATCAGTTTGGGAATGCTGCAGATCAAACGTCAACAGGAATGCCTACCTGAGTCAGAGTCTTCCTTGGCCTCCATGTTGACCAGAGCTGGATGCTTACGTATTCTGCTGCGCTACTAAAGGTAGAAGCCAACATTGTGAGGAATTTCATGTCCCGCCAACAGACTCATACCTTTAGCTGTTTTGTAACTCATTACCTAAAGATGGTAACTACCTAAACACAGCTTATCAAACAGAAAAGCTTCAACCTGGTCTTTCTGTGTCAAAGTCCTGAAAGGTGAAACAAGTCCTGAGAGAATCTGATTTTTGAGATTAGCATCAAACCTGCAGGATTTCTTAAGCAAACTATCAAGTTTTCACACTGAAATTCACATTCAATCAAGGTAGCAGCTGGATTACATCTGTCAACCATTATTCAGAAAAGAAAAAGAAGAGAAAGCTTTTGTTTTGTTTTCTTCCAGGAACATGATACAAATGACTCACCAGATTCCCAGAAAGTTAGCAGGACTGTTTTCTGAGTCCTTATCAAACACCTGCAACGAGGTGAAAGAGCAGCGCCATGGTCGACAGAGCTCTGGTGACATCGGCGCACGTGTTTTATAAAAAAAGTATTCTGCCACCGCTTTGCATAAAACAAATCATTTTAAATTCATCTTCTTCCTTTATGCAGAGGCAATGTGACCCCATCGGCGGCACACCTTGTTCTGCTCCCAGGTGCACATAACAGCATCACAGTCTGTACTCCCCACGCTCCCTCACCTGAGAGGAGACTGAAACAGGAATGGAGGAGGAGCGATGCAGCCGTCAAGCCTACCAGCATTTTGTAGAATCCCTAAATGTGCTCCTGGTCACAGTGAGGGATTCTTTTCTGACCTGAATCTCTGAAGTATCCTGAGAACTCTTTGTAGCGCTGCGATAATGGGGCTTTTGTATGATGGAGGCCATGGGAGTATTGGTTTACCTGAGTGTGAAAGCTTGTAATCAGACATACCAAAGCATTGCTTTTATTTGCGGGTTTTCCCCAGTATTTACTTACATGTACAGTTGTGAGCCGTGTTACTTTATATTTCCAGCACATCTGAATCAAATCTGATTAAAAAGCAAGCCTTCAGTCTAGTTTTATAGAGAAAAGTTCTGCAGAGCAGAAAGTCTCAACTCATTTCATTGTTGCTGAGCAAACCATCACAAACACAAGCATGGGTATTTACAAAACAAGTGAAACTGGGGAAATTAGAATCTGGTGCAAAAGTCCATTAATTTGAGTAATTCCACGTAGACTGAGAGGCCATCTAGTTCAACACACTAGATTCAGTGGTTGAATCACCTGTGCAGCAGCTCATCAGTCACTGCAAAAGCCCGTTAATCACCAGCTGATTGAAACCAGGTGTGCTGAAGCAGGGTTAAAACCAAAACGTGCTGGATACCGGCCCTCCAATAGCCCTGATCTGAAGACTCAGGAACCCTTTGCAGATTTTCTGGATTCATTAGCTGATTAGAGTGTGACATTTTGAGTCTAGAATATTGAACCTTTGAACAAAATTGAAATTGTTTGAGATTTTGAGTTTGTGGCTTTCATAAAATGTAAGCCACAATCATAACAATTATAACAAATAAGACCGGGTTGCCAGTCCTTGTCCTGGATGGCCGGTTTCCAGCATGTTTTACTTGTTATGGTGCTTCAACACACCTGATTTCAATCATCAGATGATTAGCAAGCTTCTGCAGAGCAGGTTATTTAACCAGTGAGCAGAGGAACCACAAAAACATGCGGGGTGGTGGCCCTGCAGCACCATGTTTGAGAATCTCTGAAATGAAGGCTTGACACATCATGTAATGAGTCTCAGTTTCACCTTTTAAGTTGAATTACTAAAATAAAAGACCTTTTGCACCATAATCTAATTTTTTGTTTTACCTGTACAAATGAAGCCTCATTTGATCAGAATATATAACATCACAGTTCGTGTTGTGTGTAAAAAAAAAAAAAACTTGGCTTCCTAAGTTTTTTAATGAAAGCCTCTTTAGTGAATCTACAGAACAAACAAGGTTTTGAATGCAAACACAATCACAGAACACTCCCCCCTCCCCTTGGGGATCTTCCCTGAGACGTTTCTGCTGGAACCGGAAACCCGCATTTCAAGCGGAAACTCTAAACACCAGTCGCTGTTTTCTAGGTCCAAATGTCGTTTTTAGTCCGTGACTTCAAATGGTGTTTTTCTTTTTGGGATTCTGGTAGTTTGTCCTAAAGTTGAAGGGTAGTTTTAAGTGAAGAACCTCTCACACCACTGGTGTTCTGTTGCTATACACACACGTGTGTAGTAAATGGAGGACCCAGGGAAGTGCGGCAGTTCAGAGGGACTGACCAATGAGTGGTCCAAAAGTTGCTTTCAGTCCCAAAGGTGTTATTGGCAGAGGTTTTTGGGCAAATGAGAAAGAACTACTTAATTTGGTTTTTCCGTTTTTCTAATCTCCACAATATATTTATGATATTACAAAATCAAGGCATGAAAAAATTCAAGCTAATTTGTTTTCCAAATTTGCTATTGTAGCTTTAATTTTATTTTTCATATCATCTGTGAAAAATCAAAAACTCAGATCACTCATTCAATGTATCAAGCTGCACAAAATTTTCCCTCTTTTATTTTAGATTTTTTGCCACATTTAGAATTCCAAGATCTGACAGACACTTAGATGCTTTTTTCAAGTAGTAACTTAATTCACTAAAGAACTAATCAAGGTGCGAGGTTATGATTCAACACCAAGAAAGAGAATACTTCTGAAAACATCTGCTGATGAAAAACATCTGGAGGACTTCTGAAGACTTTGGGGACCCTAACCCCAACCCTAACCCTGTGAAAAAACTTCTCAGAGGGTGTGTGTCCCATTGCACCTGGTGTAAAACTAACCTAATTTCGTAAAACAACATCATACCAACAGTCAAACATGGTGGAAGCAGTGTGATGATCTGGACCCCTTACTGTAATTGATGGGACCATGTGTTGAGCTCTCTAGCAAAAAATCCCAAAGGAGGATTTCTGACCTTTGACCATAAACAGGTTGTTCATGCAGGAAACTTTCCAAAACAATCAAACAGTTCTGCAAAGAAGATTGAGACAAACTTCCTCTGCAGTGATGTGGATTCATTAGCAGTTATCTGTTTTTCTGTTTTACAAGTCTGAGAGTTAAATTCTGTTTGTCCAGCCTTGTTTTCATAGCCTTGTTATGGAAACTGCATTCTGTTTTTGCTCAGTGTCTTTGTTTGATGTTGCCAATTCATTTTCTGATCTGAAACATTTTAATGTGACAAAATGCATCATAACAAATGAGTGAGATCTCTAACACAATTAGAGATCTGTGTTTATGCAGGTGCCCCTTCTTCGTCATGTATCTACTGCCACCTGGTGGAGATGAGCATCCATTGCAGTTTGAGTGAAAGGTCAAACAGGATGAATGTGTAAACAGTGGAAACTGTACAAAAAGCAGCTTGCTGATTTGATGCTCACCAAATGTCAGTTAGATGCACTATTTGTGGTTTCATACCTCTTTGTCTCATTTCTGCTCCCTTAGTGAGGTTGACCCCCACAAAGGCCACACAACAACGCCTGAAGGTGCACGTATCTTATGTCTAATATGCATCTGCACATGAATGCACGTGCATATCTGGGGCGATCTTTTCCTATCAATTTTTACAGCTGGGCTCTGCGGCAGAGTGGTTAAGGGTGGTGCTCCACTGGTGTGGCATGGATGCTCTCAGGCCTCCGCAAACAAATGGCAACTGGCAGGCCAATGTTTCCCCCCACAGTTTAACCGTCGCCTAACACAAACCCCCCAAAAAACTGTGTTTACAATAAAACATTCCTCAAGTCAAGTCAAATCTGCAAGCTTGGATTAAGATTTTTCTAGCTGCTGATTTTGTTTCAAAGTATAAAAATATCGCATTTATTGCAAATTCAAGACCAGCGTCGTTTTAAAAACAAATCATAATGCATCTTGATGTCCTGAACCAAAAAAAGCTCAGTTTTTATGGTGTCATGTTAGAGACTGGTGCAGTAAAAATGATCTAATCATCATCTAGATGGAGAACAGATTAAGGAAGCACATGTGCAAAACGTTAGAACAGCCTTAAGATAGAAAAAGTTAAACACGCTTTTGATATTTTTTCTAACAAGTTCATCGTCCAGCTGCTATAAAAACCTGCACAAACTAAAGCTCTCTCATGAACAGGAACACGGCTGAAGTTCTGAGAAGTGAGCATTAGTAGGAAGGGCCGTTTCACACAAATAAATTTGTTCCAGCTAAAATTTATTGTTTAGGCATCACATCAGCTTCAAGTGAGAAAGGCAAGAGGTGAAAATGACAAATATAAGTTCCTCAATCTGATAGAAATAAGCTGCTAAAGACAAAGTGAGTTTAAGATTACAAAGCCCACAGTAACTAGGATATACGTGATCGTAATTATATGTAATTTGTTTTGGCTTCAAGTCAGTCAATAAGTCATGAAGTATTCTGGGTTGTTTTGTTCTTTTCTTATCCTGGGAATCATGCGAGTTATAGAAAAATGATAAATGATCCTCTTGCAAAGTGCCTTTCAAAGTCAGAGGACTCCATATTCATCCATTCACCCACACATTCACACACTGATGGTGATGAGCTACATTGTAGCCACAGCTGCCCCGGGGGTCACTGACAGAGGCGAGGCTGCCGAGCACAGGTGCCACTGGTCTCCCCGACCTCCACCAGCAGTCAAGGTGGGTTTAGTGTCTTGCCCAAGGACACAACAGCAGCATCCTCTGCTGGGAGCCAGGATTGATCCTACAAATTTCCAGTACCTAGACAACCCGCTCTACCTCCTGAGATTCTTCTGATCCAATTATTGTGACTTAACTGTGTGAGGTGAAACAGCCACATGCTCCAAAGTGTCAAATCATTTGTCCTTTCTGTTCTAAATAGATGTTGTTGTCTCCCTCCTCTTTTAGATGGAGGGACGGCTGGGCCTTGGCCTGAGAAGTTTGCTTCCCTGTACTGTGCCATTCACCTGTGACATGGACGCAATTTGAGGGGGGTGGGGTGGGGGGCATGTCCCACCCACTTTTTCCAACGTCAAAATTTATTGCCTGCACTTTTTGCCATGCAAAAGCAAGATTACACCATATTAAATAGACACTGGTTGAGCTCTAGGACCAAGCAGAAAAATCTCTGAAAGTGTTTTTTATGCTTTCAGGGTCATAAACTATATTCCCGGTTGAGTCTTTAACAACAGATATGGTATTTTTCTCTTTATTTATTTTTAATTGGCTAGCTAAAAAGTTACCTGATTTATTACTATGTTCAAAGTTTTCTATTCATAGTCTTTGTGCTAAAAATGGTGTCTTTTTGTCAATAATTCTATGAAGTTCTAATTTAGCTTTATATAATTTGTTCAGTAACTCTTCTTCTGTGGATGCCTCTAAAGACTTAATGATTTCCTCTAACTCCTGAATACGTTTGTTTTCTGTTTTTTTTTTCTTATGTGATGAGAAAGAGATTATTTTACCTCTCATCACTGCCTTTCCTGCCTACCAGAGAATAGATGCTGATGTTCCAGGCAGGTCATTATGTTCTAAATATAAAGCCCACTCCTTTTTAAAAATTCTATAAAACCTTCGTCTTTAAGCAGTGATGTATTAAACCTCCAGTTTTTGCTTGGTGGGATTGTCTTCTTGTTTACCAGAGTTAAAGAAACTGGAGCATGGTTGCTGACAGCTATGGGGTGTATCTCAGTGTCTGAAATGTCAGCCAACAATGAGCTGCTGACTAGAAAATAATCCAAATGTGAATGAGAGTGATGGACGTGTGAAAAAAGTATACACTCTACGGTTAGAATGAAGAGATCGCCATGCATCACAAAGCCCATTATCACTCATGTACTGTTTGACTATGTTAGTGGATTGCCAATTGCGCTGAGTCCCAGCTGTACTGAGTCTGTCTGTTAAAGAGTTCATCCAAAAATTAAAATCGCCTCCAAGTATAAGTGGACAGTCCCAGTGTTTGGAGAGTACAGAGAGAAAATTATGAAAGAATGGAGGGTCATCAATATTTGGACAGTATATGCTGACAATATATAAACTTTGGTTCTGTACAGATATTTTTAACATTATAAATCTACCCTCTGGATCAGAAACTGTGTCCAATACTGTGTAATTGATGTTTTTGTGTAATAAAATAGCTACACCTCTTTGCCTAGAGTTATAGCAGGCAGAGAACATGCTGGGAAACTCAGGTGTTTTAAGTTCATCTGCGGATGTGGCAGATCTATGAGTCTCTTGTAATAATATTACGTCTGCTTGCACTCTCTTTAGCTGATCAAAAATCTTTAATCTTTTCTCTCTGGAGCCACCTCCATGTACGTTCCATGAGACAAACCTTAGTGCACCTATAGATGTGTGTGTGAGTAGTTAAAATGTGACGCCTTCATGTGAATAAGATGGAATAAGTAACTAAATGTATAAAATAGTGTGTTAATAAATAACAGAAAGGTAAATAATAATAATAATAATGATAATAAAGATCCAACAGTGTTTGTGGTTGTATTATTTGACGCATAAATTATGATATTGTGCTGTGGATTATATATATATATATATATATAC